GATTTACCAAACCAAACCAAACCAAACCTGCGTTCTGGAAAATCATAAACATTTGCGAATTGCTTTTGCGTTTTGGTTCTTGTTATTACGTTTGTTTTGTATTTTTAAAGTTAAATGGAGGAAAATCGAGGAAAAATTAAGTGTACACCCAGAGCACAGTCTACGATTTTAGTTTTTTGAAATGCAATAAGTCGGGGGTGCCTATTTTACTGAACAAATTTAAAATTTCCTTTTTGAGATTAGTTGAAAGTAATACCACCTTAATTTTGCTACTACCACCCAAAAATAAACTACTACCACCCAAAGATATACTACTACCACCTTAACTTTGTTACTACCACCCAAAAATAAGCTACTACCACCTTAATTTTGCTACTACCACCCAAAAATAAACTACTACCACCTTAATTTTGCTACTACCACCCTAAAATAGACTACTACCACCTTAATTTTGCTACTACCACCCAAAAATAAACTACTTCCATCTTAACTTTGCTACTACCAACCAAAAATAGACTACTACCACCTTAATTTTGCTACTACCACCCAAAAATAAATTACAACCACCTTAATTTTGTTACTACCACCCAAAAATAAACTACTTTCACCTTAACTTTGCTACTACCAACCAAAAATAGACTACTACCCCCTTAACTTTGCTACTACCACCCAAAAATAAACTACTACCACCTTAATTTTGCTACTACCACCCAAAAATAAATTACTACCACCTTAATTTTGTTACTACCACCCAAAAATAAACTACTTTCGCCTTAACTTTGCTACTACCAAACAAAAATAGACTACTACCCCCTTAACTTTGCTACTACCACCCAAAGATATACTACTACCACCTTAACTTTGTTACTATCACCCAAAAATAAGCTACTACCACCTTAATTTTGCTACTACCGCCCAAAAATAAACTACTACCACCTTAATTTTGCTACTACCACCCTAAAATAGACTACTACCACCTTAATTTTGCTACTACCACCCAAAAATAAACTACTTCCATCTTAACTCGATTTATCGATTTATCGATTTATTGATTTATTGATTTATGTTATTGATTTATTGTTTGGTTAAAAAATTTTTTACTGGTCTCTTCCTCTTCCTCTTCCTCTTCCTCTTTCCCTTATTGATTTATTGATTTATTGATTTACTGATTTACTAATTTATTGATTTATCGATTTATTGATTTATTGATTTATCGATTTATTGATTTATCGATTTATCGATTTATCGATTTATTGATTTATCGATTTATCGATTTATTGATTTATCGATTTATTGACTCATAGACTCACTGATTTATTGATTTATCGATTTATGGATTTATTGATTTATTGACTCATTGACTCATTGATTTATTGATTTATTGATTTATTGATTTATTGATTTATTGATTTATTGATTTATTGATTTATTGATTTATTGATTTATCGATTTATTGATTTATTGATATATTTATTTATCGATTTATTGATTTATTGATTTATCGATTTATCGATTTATTGATTTATCGATTTATCGATTTATCGATTTATTGATTTATTGATTTATCGATTTATTGATTTATCGATTTATTGATTTATTGATTTATTGATTTATTGATTTATGTTATTGATTTATTGTTTGGTTGAAAAAAATTTTACTGGTCTCTTCCTCTTCCTCTTCCCCTTATTGATTTATTGATTTATTGATTTATCGATTTATCGATTTATCGATTTATTGATTTATTGATTTATCGATTTATTGTCTGGTTAAAAAAAATTTTACTGGTCTATAAGCAACTATAAAAAATTATTAAAGTATAGTTAGTATATAATTGCAAAATTGGGGTCACAAAAAGAAATATATTAAAATAACTTTTATTGATTTATTGACTCATTGACTCATTGATTTATCGATTTATTGATTTATTGATTTATCGATTTAATGATTTATCGATTTATTGATTTATTGATTTATCGATTTATTGATTTATTGATTTTGCGATTTATTGATTTATTGACTTATTGACTCGTTGATTTATTGATTTATTGATTTATCGATATATTGATTTATTGACTCATTGACTCACTGATTTATTGATTTATTGACTCATTGACTCATTGATTTATTGACTCATTGATTTAGTGATTTATTGATTTATTGATTTATCGATTTATTGACTCATTGATTTATTGACTCATTGATTTATTGATTTATCGATTTATTGATTTATTGATTTATTGATTTATTGATTTATTGATTTATTGACTTATTGATTTATTGATTTATTGATTTATTGATTTATTGATTTATTGATTTATTGATTTATTGATTTATCGATTTATTGACTGGTCTATAAGCAACTATAAATACTATATATATAATTTTTACTGGTCTATAAGCAACTATAAAACTGTATAAAATTACAAAATTGGAAAATATATTAAAATAACTTTTATCGATTTATTGATTTATCGATTTATTGACTTATTGATTTATCGATTTATTGATTTATTGACTCATTGACTCGTTGATTTATTGATTTATCCATTTATTGATTTATTGATTTATCGATTTATTGATTTATTGACTCATTGACTCATTGACTCACTGATCTATTGATTTATTGATTTATCGATTTATCGATTTATTGATTTATTGATATATTGATATATTGATATATTGATATATTGATATATTGATATATTGATATATTGATATATTGATAATTGATATATTGATATATTGATTTATCGATTTATCGATTTATTGATTTATCGATTTATTGAGTCATATTATTGATTTATCGATTTATTGATTTATCGATTTATTGATTTATCGATTTATTGATTTAATGATTTATCGATTTATCGATTTATTGATTTATCGATTTATTGATTTATCGATTTATTGATTTATATTATTGATTTATTGATTTATTGATTTATTGATATATTGATATATTGATATATTGATATATTGATATATTGATATATTGATATATTGATATATTGATTTATCGATTTTTTGATTTATCGATTTATTGATTTATTGATTTATATTATTGATTTATTAATTTATTGATTTATTGATATATTGATATATTGATATATTGATATATTGATATATTGATTTATCGATTTATTGATTTATATTATTGATTTATTAATTTATTGATTTATTGATATATTTATATATTGATTTATCGATTTATTGATTTATTAATTTATGGATTTATGGATTTATTGATTTATTTTTTTTATTGATTTATTGATTTATTGACTCATTGATTTATCGATTTATTGATTTATTGATTTATCGATTTATTTATTTATCGATTTATTGACTTATTGATTTATCGATTTATTGATTTATTGATTTATTGATTTATTGATATATTGATTTATTGACTCATTGACTCATTGACTCGTTGATTTATTGATTTATCGATTTATTGATATATTGATTTATCGATTTATTGATTTATTGACTCATTGACTCATTGACTCACTGATTTATTGATTTATTGATTTATCGATTTATCGATTTACTGATTTATCGATTTATTGATTTATTGAGTCATTGACTCATTGATTTATTGATTTATCGATTTATCGATTTATTGATTTATTGATTTATTTATTTATTGACTTATTGATTTATTGTCTGGTTAAAAAAAATTTTACTGGTCTATAAGCAACTATAAAACTGTATCAAATTGCAAAATTGGGGTCACAAAAAAAAATATATTAAAATAACTTCTTTATTTTGTAGATTTTTTTCCAGCAACAAAAAAACTAACTTTTTTCAAGAAAAATAGGATTAACGTGCAAATATCCATTCATCTCCCTCATCAAACCTTAATTTCATTAAGCCGGAGCGAAAATAATATACCGAAAAGCCACAGAAAGAATAAAGAAAACATTTTCCAATTTTCCTTAACATCAAACGCACAATAAATTTCCCGCAGAGTTTCGACTTGTCGGTCGGTTCTTTTGTTAATCGACGTTTTATCGAAAACGAAGTGGGAGAACTCGTTTATTAATGGCCAGCGGCAGCAAATCAATGGCAGAAATTATCAGAATTTTTTTTTGGATTTATTGATTTATCGATTTATGGATTTATTGATTTATGGATTTATTGATTTATTGATTTATCGATTTATTGACTTATTGATTTATTGACTCATTGACTCATTGATTTATTGATTTATTGATTTATTGATTTATTGATTTATAAATTTATCAATTTATCAATTTATCAATTTATTGATCTATTGATTTATTGATTTATCAATTTATTGATTTATTGTTGGTTTGCGATCGTTATTATACTTTACTTGATCGGCAAAGGCGTACCGGCAACGCCGCAACAGCACACCGTCGCATTTCTCTCACTCCGACTTAATAAGATCCTTATGCGATTGACTTCCACACATGTAAACACCGACCCAAGAGTAACAGTTGCCAGCACGGTATAGCGTTTAACGCCTTGGGAGTAGCAAGGTACAGCTTGCCATACTAGAGCCATTCGGTATACAAGGAAGGTAATGTGGCTAGCTCTACGCTTCAACCGCCTATTATTACCTCAGGATTGTGAATCCCAAGTACTCAATTAAGGCTGAGTTGATCTAGGTACCCAAACTATTTTTATTTTAATAAAAATAGTCTACCAAACCTTGAGATTGGTAGACGAGAGACGTACCTCTACGCCACCGGGCACCTACATCTAAAGATTGACTTCGCTAAAAATATCGTCTATTCTCATTCCCCAGCCGTCTTTGACGCCGTTTTTTTATCATACGGTAGTATAAATCAATTTTCTTTTTCTTATTTTACAATATAACATATTGTCTTATTTATCCCATGTATTTTTTTGTTTTATTTTGTTCTGTTCTTTTTGTTTCTTATCTTGTTATCTTGTCTGTTCTTTTTGTTTTATGACCATGTATGTGTAAGTGTCTCCTCATTGAAATAAAACTAAATGAATTCTTGTAAGCCGTTTATTAAATATAAATAAGTTATTTATTTAATAGTATTTCCTATACAAAATATTCCTAATAGTCATCTTCGTAGCCGTCATCGTCGTAACCATACTGGTCTTCGCCCATTTCCTGGTGATGCTGGTTCAACATCGTCAAGACACCCATCTCGTTAGCTGTATCATCTTGGGGCTGCTCTTCTTCATAGTAATCATCCGCATCTTCTTCTGCCTCTTCCTCTTCCACAGCTGCAACAGAAAATTGTTATTAGTTGACAGTTCATCTGACAATTTTATACATGTCGTGAGTATTTCAAGAGTAAATTTCGGAGCGATTATTTTCACTCAGTAGTTTTTATACAGGTAGGGACGAAAAGTTATTACTCTTCAAACCAGTTAAAAATATGTAGGTGGCGCTCTTTACAAGGAGGAGGCATATTGACATCAAAATCAAATTTCACATGTCAAAAAACTCCCAGACACCAATTTTCATCAAAATATTGACGTTACTTCATAAATTATTTGGAAAAAATCGAAATAAAAATGAAACTTCTACACCCTGTATCTCCGAAACTTAGCATTTTTGGACATACGTTTTATACGAATATTTTTAACCAGTTTTATTGGGTTATTTCAAAAATGACAGCTCGTATTTCAACATGATTGGAGTGACAGAACGCACGGACGACTTCAGAGATTTTTGAGACTTGTCAAACTGTTGCCAAATTATAGGTTATAATTTGCGTCAAATTAAGTCAAATAACCTAACGTTCTGCGTTATTTTGCGTTTCGGTTCTTGTTATTACGTTTGTTTTGTATTTTTAAAGTTAAATCGAGGAAAATCGAGGAAAAATTAAGTGCCAGTCTACGATTTTACGTTTTTCGAAATGCAATAACTCGGGGGTGCCTATTTTACTGAACAAATTAAAATTTCCTTTTTGAGATTAGTTGAAAGTAATACCACCTTAATTTTGCTACTACCACCTAAAAATAAACTACTACCACCTTAATTTTTCTACTACCACCCAAAAATAAACTACTACCACTTTAAATTTGCTACTACCACCAAAAAATAAACTACTACATTAATTTTGCTACTACCACCCAAAAATAGAGTACTACCACCTTAATTTTGCTACTACCACCCAAAAATACACTACTACCACTTTAAATTTGCTACTACCACCAAAAAATAAACTACTACCACTTTAATTTTGCCACTACCACCCAAAAATAAACTACTACCATTTTAATTTTGCTACTACCACCCAAAAATACACTACTACCACTTTCATTTTTCTACTACCACCCAAAAATCAACTACTACCACTTTAAATTTGCTACTACCACCAAAAAATAAACTACTACCACTTTAATTTTGCCACTACCACCCAAAAATAAACTACTACCATTTTAATTTTGCTACTACTACCCAAAAATAGACTACTACAACCTTAACTTTGCTACTACCACCCAAAAATAGACTACTACCACTTTTTGCTATTACCACCCAAAAATAGACTACTACCACCTTACCTTAGCTACTACCACTCAAAAATAAACTACTACCACCTTAATTTTGCTACTATCACCCAAAAATAAACTACTACCACCTTAGTTTTGCTACTACCACGCAAAAATAGACTACCACCTTAATTTTGCTACTAGCACCCAAAAATAAACTACTACCACCTTAACGTTACTAGTACCACCCAAAGATAGACTACTATCACCTTAACTTTGCTACTACCACCCAAAAATAAATTACTACCACCTTAATCGGGATCTGTAGATAAATTGTCAGTACTTAAGCTTTACAAAAATATTATCACATTTATATAGTAATAATTTGTACATTTTGTTTTTGACTGTTATGTTGTGTCAAAGATCAAATATTAAAATAATAAATGTTATACATAATTTTATTACTAGTTTTATTTTAAGTAAGTAAATAAATCAATGTTTCTAGCCATTTAATCAGTCAAGTATGAAATAATAATATATTTTCGTAGATTTAAATAAAATTACAGGGGTAGTAGTTTATTTTTGGGTGGTAGTAGCAAAGTTAAGGTGGTAGTAGTTTATTTTTGGGTGGTAGTAGTAAAATTAAGGTGGTAGTAGTTTATTTTTGGGTGGTAGTAGTAAAATTAAGGTGGTAGTAGTTTATTTTTGGGTGGTAGTAGTAAAATTAAGGTGGTAGTAGTTTATTTTTGGGTGGTAGTAGCAAAATTAAGGTGGTAATAGTCTATTTTTGGGTGGTAGTAGCAAAATTAAGGTGGTAGTTGTATGTATTTAGGTAGTAATAACGTATATAAGCTGCTCAGTAAATTATGCTGGTCAGTAAAATAGATTTTCCCCAATAACTCGATTGGAATTTTTCAGTTTTATACAGTTTTTTATAATATTTTGAAATAATCATTTGTCACTAACATTTTAAATACCGGCTGCGTACAAAAGTAGCTCAGATAACAAAACGAGATTTGGTATGTTTGTTTATGACATAAATTAGGATTCATTGACATATTCAATTGTTTTGGTCACTTCACCGGAAATGATTACAACTTTTGATTTTCAAATAACACTCTCGGTATATTTTTACTTTGTTGGAATTTTAAAATGGCACTCTGAATAGAATGTCAACTTTTGACAATTTGACTCGAAATACCAAGTGTGTGGTACCAAATTATTCATTAAAAAATGCCTTTTTCAAATATGCTAATGAGCCACCCTTGTTCCATTTGAAAAAACTGAGATATGATTAAAAATACTATTTGGGCATTTTTAACCCCTCAGGATAAGACACGAAAAACATTAGACGATTAAGTCTATTCTTCCAAGGCTCCTTGATTAAAAATTAGTGTTTTTAACACAGCCATGACACTCTACATTGAAATTTAAAATGCGATTTTTTAAAGCGAAAATGTGAAAAGTTGACATTTGATATGTCATTCTATTCAGAATGTCATTTTTTATCAAATAAAGTAAAAAAATACCGAGGGTACCATTGAAAAATCAAAAGTTGTAGTTATTTCCGGTGAAACAGGAAGTGACCAAAAACAACTGAATATGTCCAATCAATCCTAATTTATGTTATATACCTACTAACATACCAAAGCTCGTTGCGTTATTGGAAAAATTAAAAAAAAATTATAGGGGTGAGCTCCCGGTATAGTAATTTCCTGCTTGACAGATTCATCTATCACTGTCAAGTTGTTATTGAGACTATACTGACGCTTTAAATTTTAAATACTTTTGTTTAAAAAAAAATGTACAAACATAAAAATCCAGCCAGCAAACACTAAAAAATCCGGCTTAGTGTTCAAAAATTATATTTCTATTATCTCATACAGTCGAGAAAAGAATACAAATAATGGGAATAAAAGCGAAAAAAAACGACCAGGAACAGCGTTCTCTGCATCTGAACGACATTCAATTTTTCTCGAGTGGACACAGCGCGCACGTTAAAGCGGACTCTGGTATTTTCCATGATGTATGGAAAAAGTCCAAGAAAAGTATTTCAGCTCTTATTTGCTATAAGCTTTCGCCGAAAAGGATTGCTATACAGGATACGCCCTGGTTAGATTTAAGAAGGTTTTCTTACACAAACAATGATTTTCAAACTCGCCTTATACAGGGTGTCCCAATATTCCGTGGAACTACTACGTATTTTTGGAATCAAAATAAGTTCATTGGACACAATTTACCTCTGTACAAAAGTGCTTCGTTTGTCCGTTAGAGGGCACCAAACGTCAAAACATTATTCACATTATCAATTATTTATTCACAAATATTAATTATTATCATTATTATTGACAAATATCAAGAAAAAGTACGGGAAGGGTAAAAACTACCCCCACCCCTACATAAATTTTAGTATAATAATTAATTTCCAACTCAACCGACGACCGATTTTTTCTTATAAAATGGTCCTTCTAGTATTTCCTACATTTTTTGTCTTTTGTAAAAAAAAACCACCGCGCATATTTTTTGAGAAAAAAAATATTTTTCCGAAGCTGATTTCCAAAAGATGTTTTTTGTCACATTAAGCTATGGAGGCTCTATGTTCACGGAACATTGGAGACACCCTGTATATTTTTATGATCCACAAAACATGGCAATTCATCTAAACAACAAAGAACAAAGCTATAAGCTATAAGCAAAGAGTAGATATAAGTGTGTAAATTTACGATTTAGAGTGTAAAAAAAGTTATTTAATAAAAATAACCGTAAAAAACTACGTTCACATTTGACTGTTGTTAACAAATCAGGTAATGGTGTGGATCCGGTGGCTGACCTTGAAACGAGTTTTTGCTGCATATAGTCACAGACACTACGCATGCGCACATCTTTGATGTTGCCAGATTGCGAGTTATTTTGGAATTATTTTCAGTAGAAAACAAATAGGTATGTGCTTTTCAGTGTTTTTTTGTTAATATATACCGTATGATCGAAAAAACGGCGTCCAGTTGGCTGGGAAATGACGATTGAGGACATTTCCCATATAAAATGACAGCGATCTTCATTTCATAGTCATCGCTGACGCTATTTTTTTTTTTCAATCATAGTACGCGGTATATTATTATTTATATTATTATTTTAATATTTCGCACAACACGTAGACACACAAATGTAATAAAAACTGTACGATACTGTATGAAAAAAACGGTGTTAAAGACGTGTTACTTAGTTGAAAAAGTTAATTAGTTAAACATGTTTTTAATTAATTACTGTATATCCTACAGCAATATACAGGGTGTTTCAAAACAAATGCGAAAAACTTCAGAGGGTGATTCCTTGTTCAAAATAAAGGGTAGTTTGCTTTATAAACGTTGGGTCAAAAGTGAACCATTAGGGAGATATCGCGGTAAAAAGATGGCAGAAAAATAATGTTTTTATTTTTTATCTTGAAAACGAAAAGAGATAGACTAATGAAATTTTATGGAAGCATTACTGTTATGAAAACACACTTTTTGGTATTTTTTTCATTTTTTTAAAATGAGTGGAAGGGGTTGAAATAAACTGCCCCTATCATTCTTGTTAACGAAATTAAAAGAAAAATATTATCAAACACATGCAAAAAAATTAATTTGGATAGTTTAGTTTGTTTAGAAACGTTTTTATCTCTAGTGTTCTTTTGATAAAACTCACCGATTTGAAATTAAAAAATAAAATGTAAAGCATTACATGTCAGGACAAAAAACATTTTTAGATTAAGAATCTAGTGATAATAACGATAATAATAATCATCTAGATAATAACGTATTGCAGTAGAGTAATGTCAAATAAAATAATATTAGGAACATCCTAAAAAGTAACAGCGGTCGACAAGATTTTTTCCTAAAAAATTCAGCAGCCCACTAGATTCTTGATCAGAAAATGTTTTTTGTCCTGACATGTAATGCTTTACATTTTATTTTTTTTTTTAATTTCAAATCGGTGAGTTTTATAAAAAAAATACAGGAGATAAAAAAGTTTCTAAACAAACTAAACTATCCAAATTATTTTTTTTGCATGTGTTTGATAAGATTTTTCTTTAAATTTCGTTAACAAGAATAATAGGGGTAGTTTATTTCAACCCCTTCCACTCATTTTAAAAAAGTGAAAAAATTACCAGAAAGTGTGTTTTCATAACAGTAATGCTTCCATAAAATTTCATTAATCTATCTCTTTCCGTTTTCAAGATAAAAAATAAAAACATTATTTTTCCGCCATCTTTGTACCGCGATATCTCCCTAATGGTTGACTTTTGACCCAACGTTTATGAAGCAAACTACCCTTTATTTTGAACAAGGGATCACCCCCTGAAGTTTTTCGCATTTGTTTTGAAACACCCTGTATAATAAGATAATAATAAATAAAATAATCGTTTTCCTTCCATTAAATTTACGCATGAAATTGAGAACAACGACAGATTACCATTTCTAGATGTATTAGTTATTAGAAATGCTAATAATTGCCTGGAATTTGATATTTATAGAAAAAATATGACCGCACGCAGATATATTCCTATTGAATCACATCATAGTGTTGAACATAAAATCGCTAGTTTAAATTTCTTAGTTCATAGATTACTTAGTTTCCCACTTTCCAACGAAAGATATGAAATAGAAAGAGATTACATTAGGAATGTAGCTGAGTGTAATGGATATTCTCCTTCACTAGTTGATAAATTAATTAGAAAACGTAGGTATAGGTTAATGATTTCTGAAAATTCGACTTTTCAAGTGGAGAAAGACACGTCTAAATATTTTTCGATGCCGTTTGATAGAGAGTTATCCCGTGGTCTAAAAGGAATTTTGAAGAATGTAAATTATAAACTTGTGTATAGTGCTAATAATAAATTACAACAATTATTAGGTAATCCAAAGGATAAAACACCTCCACTGGAAAGGTCGGGTATTTATGAAATTTCTTGTAAAGATTGTAATCAGAAATATGTTGGGCAAACTAGAAAATCAATATTAACTAGATTTAAAGAACATTTAGCTCAGATAAGATATGGTAAACCGGATAAATCTTGCGTTGCCGAACATATTGTTCATAAAGAACATTGTATAGATCTTAATAATTTAAAATTAATTAAACAAGTCTCAAATTACAGGCAATTAGATGCATATGAAAGCATCAGAATTAATAAATGTAAAGATAGTATGAACAGAGACAACGGTCCAATTCCTTCAAGTTCTTTGTTCCTACTACTCTAGTGGCGGAAATCTAACTGTTACGCTCAGTGGGCTCTGACTCGGTTGGCTAGATTTTGCCACGCCCACTCGGTGCCCACTGGGCGAGTATATAAACGCTCAACTTGTAGATTGTACTTTAGTTTATAATCATCTGCTGATGATGCTAACAAGGTTAGCGAAACGCGCAGTATAAAAGTCAAAGTGTTTTGGTGTATTGTGGTGATTTAGTGTTTTTATTTTGCTGTGTAACACCAAAGGTTCCAACCCTCAACTGTAATAATATAAGAAAAAATGTTTTCTACTCACTTTTTTATACTAAACAAAAATATAAGCTAGTTAAAACAAAATATTTTAGAAAAAAATAGTTTTTAATTTTTTTCATAGTGTTCCACCACTTCAAAAAATTCTAAAAAAATCCTGAGTGTAAAGGAGTATAAAAGAGATTTTCTGATGATTTTCTTTCCTCGACTGTATACCTTATAATCTCTATTTGGTAATGGTACGATATAAGCATGTAGCCAATAGTGTAAAAGTGTAAATTTATTATTAAACTAACTTGGGTTTTTTTTCGAACATACGGTCCCTTTTTGATATTTAACTCACCAGGAATTTTATCATTTTTAGAGCTTTCTTCTGTAACAGTTTCTTTTCTATCCTTCTTCTTGGAAACAACGGCAGGAGTATCTTCAAGAAATGGCAAACCAACATCCACTATTTTCCTCGATTTGCCTTGCTTCTTCGGAGGCGAGTCTATTATTACAGGCGTTGATTTTAATCTGGAAGAATTGAAAACCAATAATAGTTTTTTATGTGTAAAAAATAGTTTTTAACGAGTCGAAAATAATTTCTTACTTTTAATATACATTTAATACACAGGGTGACCCAACGCACGTACCTCTTTGCATCCGGATTATCCTCCGTAGACGTACTAGTTACGTCAGACGTTTCGTTTAGAACAGCTCCGCTCTTCAAACTCTTCAACACCTCGTAGTTAATTTTCGTCGATATCTTCTTTTCCTGTATAATTTTTTCTATAGCTTCTCCGGCGGAATTACTCGGCCCTATAGTCTGTCTCTTCGAGTGACGTTTTCGCTTTTTTTCCGGCTTACCTTCCTCGCGTTCTTTTTTTAACTGTTCTTCTTTTTCTGCAATTTAGAACATGTAGATATTTTAAGAAATTCAGTGTCTTTGCTTTATTTTGTACTTTGTTTAATCAATTTTAGATTTCTAACCACAATTTCTCTTGACTGAACATAATCAAAGTAATAAATAATTTCTTTTAGTATGATATAACACTTAATAAGACAATGCTATATGATAACAAACATTATTTTATTAGACTCTTATACCCACCATGTAAGAGTTCTATAATATTCATATAACTAGTAGTCACAAGATCATATAATAGTTACTTAAACTTGTCTTATTAAAGTTGTATTACGTTGTATGATAGAATGTTTTCTTGCGTTAACTACGGTGCTGTATACAACACTAGTTATATAGCCTTATATGATAAAATTGTGATTAACAAAATAAATTCGCTGTAATATCTGCATTATAAAACTGGTAATGTATAATATAACCTCATTTTAAATTAAATGGTATACGTAGTTATTTATTTTGTTATTGTTGTTGTTGCAAAAGTAATATCTACGTACGAGTATAATCAATCACAGCTATTATGAATTCTGGACAAAGTTGGAAAAAAGTTAACATACGCAGTGGTAGTTATAAAGAGCATGTAAGAAAAAACTCATCGAAATTACGGCAAATAATCCCGAGAATTCCCTGGGTTCCCAAAAGCCAAAACCTCTCGGGTTGTCTGGCTTCTTCAAAGCATTGTTGCCACGTTGATGTAAAAGTTTTACTGTAGTAATGTTTGTATTGTTTTATTGTTGTTTTTCCAAGTCCTTAGGTTGCCGCTCACTCGTCGGGCATGCATGAAATGCATTGCGTGCATAAATCCATGAAAACCTGATCATGTTTGTTAGTTTAAATACTAATCAAATGAGATTTGCCAACATCCATTTGTCACAAATCTCAATATGTCAAAAATAGTTCTATAGTGCCTGGAAATTCTGCGTAATGATAGATATTTATCTTATACCGTTTTATTTTACCACAAAGACTTATTTAAGGGATTCATTTATAATAAAATGGTTGCATTATAATTCGCCATGTTTAAGGCAGAATTTTTGTATGGCCTATGGCCGCCATTATATGAAGCAAAATTAAAAACATCAAAATAAATTGTAAAATGTTTTTTTTGAGAACTATTTTGTGATAAGATTCCCACATACAGTAATAAACTGTTTAATTAAATTAAAAACAAGAATTTTTGAAAATTTTATTTTATTTTATTGTTTAAATTTATACGTAAACCTAAATCGAAATTAAAGCGCTTTAATTTTTTGCCAAATACATACCTAATCTACCAGTAAAATTTTCGGCGCAACAAAAATTTTCCCTACTTTTCAAACCCTATTAATGATTTTTTATATTACATATTTGTTGTACCTTTTGGCTCTACCCGCCATTTTCACCGTCGAGTAAAGTCTCCTTTTTAACAATCCACATCCTCTAGATTCATTTTACGACACGCTTAAAATATAATTTGCTCCTAATATTCATCGGTAAAAAATAAAATACTCTTTTACCTCGCTAAATGATCAAATGTTTTTATTGTTCTGTTTCTTAGATGTGACCACGTAATACACAATAAAACTAGTTTTATAATAGATATATAACGCTATGTAAAATAGTTGCATAAGAGTTGTATACCCTTTTTATAGAACTTCTATACTACTAAACGGTTGTATAAAAATGGGCCTTTTTTGGTTGTAAAGCTATCATATTACGGTCATATAGCACGTTATATGAATTGAGGTATCCTATAAAAATTATCACATAGCTGTTTATACAACCTTTATAAAATAAAATTTGCTACTTGGGCTCGTATAATAAGAATAATGACATATCCATAGAAAAATAGCTTGACATAACTCAAAAATAGGTTACGAAATTCACGTAACATTGACATTTTTCATTGTTACATCCGTCAGTTATCAACTATGGACTATTACCACAGATTAGGTATCCCATAAGTATACAGATAAAAATCTTGTCCCTAATTCGTAATAAGAAAATTGTTTTTTATGACGATGTGCAAACGAGTCAAATAGAATAATATAATAATAATAATAAATTACAGAATACGGGCCCAGGTCTAGAGACTCTCCGGACTATTGAAGTTATAATATATTATCTAATTTTATTGTAGATAGAATAGGAATAAAATTATTTGAAAATAGATACCTTTCTGTTTTTTCAGGTACTCGGCGTTGAGTTCGTGCCACAGCTCGTGCTTGACTTGAAATTCGCTGTCTGACATTATGTAGGAGTCCAGTTCTTCGTCGTCTACGTCATCGAAGTTCAAATCAAAAGTGATTCCTTTGGAGTCAGGCTGGGGTGCATTGCTGGTGTCATCTAAGGAAGCTGGCAAACCAATACTAGCTATATCTGGACCTGAAAGTAACATACAAAAAAAATAATTACAAACACAAAAAAAACGAAAAACAGAGACGTGCGAGTTGGACTTTAACAAACGATACTGGACTCTCCATCTTGAAAACCCCGTATACTTTGTTTTTATGTTAATTCTTGAGATTGACTGAACATTACACCAACCCATAAAAAAAGATAAACCGATCAAAAGTTTGTAAATAACTTTATAAACTTCTCGAGCATCCACTTTCTTCAAATTGTTTGGGTAGATCTTTTCAAAAGTTTCTCGCCTTCAGCTTTCAAATCGATAAAAATACAATTCTGTCCGTTCAGTCGATTATAATTTTGGATTTTCCGTCTTTAGAAAGAGTTCTCTAATAGACAAAGTCTTCTAAGTTTTGATAGAATTTGTCAAAGAGTGTCAAAAGTTTAAAGCACTTCCCAAAAGATTTAGTAAATAAAGTCATTTGAGCAGTTCGTTCAATAACGTTGTTATTAATAACTTTACTAGCGTGGGATGGTAAAGAAACATAGGTAATTAGGTTGATAAATGTCATTTTGATTTGGAATTTGCTTTATTCAAGTTTCCGGCAGTTCTGAACCAGGAAGTTTATTTTGACATTGATTGACAGTTGATTAACTTTTTCCTTTTTCAATATTAGATATCCTGCAGAGGCTGTATCCGTTTTTATCTTGATTATGTTTTTTTTCATTCTACACAGAAAAGTGCCTTTAGAATGTATGATCCATTTTTCCGTGGTTGCTGAAATAAACAAACTATCGAACATCTTCAAAAAGTACAAAATTTGAGAATCCCCCTGTAGCTTCGAAACCGATCAAGATAGCCACGATCCGTTTGCGCTATTGTAATTTTTTCAAAAAAAGAACCCGAGACTGCAGTATCAAAATTTGAATATTTTTCACCGTTTCCTAGATACCCTATAGAAACAACCAAAATGGTCCACCCAGTACATACTTTAGGTTGCAGATTAAACAAAATTTCTAATTTTATTATGATAGGAGCTACAGATACCCGACGCACTTTTGCCGGACCCTGTATAGTGCTAGAGCAAGGATTTCGTTGCAACCCCGTATACTTTGTTTTTATGTTAATTCTTGAGATTGACTGAACATTACACCAACCCATAAAAAAAGATAAACCTTTCAAAAGTTTGTAAATAACTTTATAAACTTCTCGAGCATCCACTTTCTTCAAATTGTTTGGGTAGATCTTTTCAAAAGTTTCTCGCCTTCAGTTTTCAAATCGATAAAAATACAATTCTGTCCGTTCAGTCGATTATAATTCTGGATTTTCCGCCTTTAGAAAGAGTTCTCTAATAGACAGAGTCTTCTAAGTTTTGATAGAATTTGTCAAAGAGTGTCAAAAGTTTAAAGCACTTCCCAAAAGATTTAGTAAATAAAGTCATTTGTGCAGTTCGTTCAATAACGTTGTTATTAATAACTTTACTAGCGTGGGATGGTAAAGAAACATAGGTAATTAGGTTGATAAATGTCATTTTGATTTGGAATTTGCTTTATTCAAGTTTCCGGCAGTTCTGAAGCAGGAAGTTTGTTTTGACATTGATTGACAGTTGATTAATTTTTTCCATTTTCAATATTAGATATCCTGCAGAGGCTGTATCCGTTTTTATCTTGATTATGTTTTTTTTTCATTCTACACAGAAAAGTGCCTTTAGAATATATAATTCATTTTTCCGTGGTTGCTGAAACTGTGTCCGTTGCTGCAATTCTGTCCGTTCAGTCGATTATAATTTTGGATTTTCCGTCTTTAGAAAGAGTTCTCTAATAGACAAAGTCTTCTAAGTTTTGATAGAATTTGTCAAAGAGTGTCAAAAGTTTAAAGCACTTCCCAAAAGATTTAGTAAATAAAGTCATTTGTGCAGCTCGTTCAATAACGTTGTTATTAATAACTTTACTAGCGTGGGATGGTAAAGAAACACAGGTAATTAGGTTGATAAATGTCATTTTGATTTGGACGTTGCTGTATTAAGTTTCCGGGCGTTCTGAACCAGGAAGTTTTTGTTTTGACACTGATTGACTTTTGCTTAGCTGATTAACTTTTTCCTTTTTCAATATATTAGATATCCTGCAGAGGCTGTATCCGTTTTTATCTTGATTATGTTTTTTTTTCTGAAAAATACCATATAAAGGAAAAAAAACGGCGTCAAAAAACAGCTGGGGAATGACAGTCGATTAGGTCATGTTTTTTAATTTTCCCTAAAACGGTATGGAAATTTGAAAATGTATGAACGGAATTAACCATTTTAAAACAAGCAAAAATTTTTATGAAGAATGCATTTTCCTCTAAATGTCAATAATAAAAAAGTTTTTTTCTCTTGTAAAGACTCAGACGATTGATCAAGTCAGTGTCAGATTTTCTTCCTGACATGTTTTTAATAAAAATGAAGAGAATTTAGTTATCCCTATATTGTAATTGCAAAACATTTTCCGATGCACGTCATCAATCATATCTACATTGACAATAAAATCTATAAACCAAAAACCAAACTAAATGAAATTTTGGCAAAAATGTTTAAATTTGTTGTATAATTTAAGATACCGAGCAGCTCTTTTTTATTTTACTTTATAAAGCAAATGATTGTAACAGATATTTTATTTAGATTAAAGCTGCAAAAATTAGTTTAAACCGAAATTTATTATCGCTATGTTGGTCACATTGCGCCGTTTTCAGCAATGTTATCCTTTATTATTTGACAATTATCCAAGTGTCAGTCATTATTTTGTATAATATCGTGTTGTTGAATCTATGTGAGTAATTCTTGTTTTTTTTGCCTATTTTCATAGTCTTTTTTTTTAAAAATTGTACTTTAAGCACAAACAGTTCTTTTAAAGAACTAAATTTTCGAGTTTTTGTATTGCATTTTTGGAAATTTGTGTGTTGAAAATATACCGAAGCATTTAAACAGTCGAAGCAAAAGAGATTGTAGCTTCCCCTGTTTTTTAAACTATTTTGAACGAGAACGTGACAATAAAGGTCCTTTAGGCCCGCCCCTAATTGAACCCAGCTCACGCACAGCACACGCTCAACCCATTCTTGATTCCACGCACACGTTTTCCTTAGCACCGCATATTGAACACAGCCCAGACCCAAGTTTTTACTTTCGATAATGTTTGAATACAAGCAACTTCTTGATTTAGAATCAAGATTCGAGAACGAAGGAATTGTTTTAATTCATTTGCTTAATAAATAGAGAAAAAAAGTAAAAGAAACGCATATTTGCGAAAAAAGCAAGCCACTGAGAGTTTAGATTGTCTCGCGAAGTTCTAGACAGTCTATTTAAAGAGTCTTTTTCGATTAAACAGGAGACAGTTCTTTGAAGTGTATGAACTAATAAAACAGACATTGCCGGTAAGGAATGCAACGCCCAAAAACCTATTGGAAGTGAAGAAAAACTAGCTGTTTGTCGCAAAGTAGAGAAGGGGAAGGAACCCACGACCCAAGAAAACTGTCTGAACACCAACTAGATCCACGAAAAGACTGTGCTAGGCGTGGAGTGTGTTTAATTTGCGGTACTCCCTTCTTTCCTGTGTGTTTTACAATATTCCCCACGCATGGGTTGGGCGTGTGCTGTGCGTGGGCTGGGTTCAATTTGCGGCGGGCCTTATTACCCTTGACTGCAGTCAGAGAAGTAAGTTTGATTGATAAGCACATTATACCACTTTCAAAGTTAGTTTCTATTAAATTCTGTGATTATGAGTTTGTGCATTAATAGCACCCTCTTACTTCTTATTACCACTTATGGCGTTGTAAGATGTACAGGGTGGTCGAAATTGGTCTGTTTTAACAGAGAAAACCTATTTCCTGACTAGATACAGCAAAACCGACGTAGATGTCATGGGCTCAATTTCTGAGACACGTTTAATGGCGTAAACCGCCTGTTGATATTTTCACTGCCAACTGAGATACGGGGTCCTTTTGATTTTTTTACCATTTTGAAAATTGACCATAATTTTTTTAATTCGCGGAATAATAAAATTCTGTAAAGACGTTCTTAAGGCACTTTTTTAAGCACAATCCAGTGGCGTAGTCAGTTTTTTTTCTATAGTTGCTCTTTTTGTCAGAAATAATAAAAAATATAATTATTTAAATGAAAATCATAGTTGGCTATGAACTTAAAAAAATGCTGATGTTTAACCCTTTGCAACGATATAAAGTTATGGGTATTTATTTCTAACAATGAGAGAAATATTAGGGTTTTTATCTTTGTATCGAAGCGGGCTTTTATTTTGTGTTGACCTAGTTGCCTAATTATTTTTATCGCAATTTAATATTCTATATTATAATTTATCTGCAAAATTAAAAACTTTTGAAAAGATAAATCAACATTCTATATTAGTTTTACCAATTACAATTAAAACGTCATTAAATGGAGAATTTAGAGAGAATCGGATTGAAACAAGGGACCGCATAACTTCTTTCGAATTTTTTATGGGGAAAATTAAAATACCTTATATATAAAGGAGGAACCATTGCATTGAGACGAGAGAACAATTGCAGAAGGCTACTAGGCAAGCTTTTGGACTTATTTGGACTTTGGCCTAATAAATGGCTGTAACTCTGTGCGCAAAAGATGTTTATTATGTATTCAACAAGGAGGTGCTCAGTTTGAACATCTGATGATTTTTTTTAGAAAACTATATTCGTCACTCAAAAAATATGTTTTTTTAGCTTTGCTCTTTGTTTATTGTATCGATTTCAATTGTAATTACTAAAACTAATATATAATATTAATTTATCTTTTCAAAAGTCTCTAATTATGCAGATAAATAATAATATAGAATATTAAATTGCGATAAAAAAAAATTAGACAATTAGGTCAATACAAAATCAAGGCACACTTCGATACAAAGATGAAAAACCTAATATTTCCTCATTCTTAGAAATAGGTACCCATAACTTTATATCGTTATATCGTATTATAACGTATACCAAGTATGATTTCCATTTAAAAAAATTATATTTTTATTATATCTAACAAACAGGGCAAGCATAGAAAAAAACTCACTATGCCACTGGAAAAGTGCCTTAAGAACGTCTTTACAGAATTTTTATTATTCCGTGAATCTCAATATATGTGTATAACAAGAAAAAAAATATTGATAATATTAAAGACGTGACAACATAGGCTGGATGAGGAAGGCTCGGTCGACTGTACCCAGAAGTAAACATGTGTACAAAAAAGGTTGTTTGTCCGCGTTGAGATGTAAATAGTGTAGTCTATATTTTATTTTAAGTCTATGTATTCACCATATTATATGTTTGTAAAACTGTTCTATAGTAAGTTTAATGTTTATAGGGTTAAAAAATATGAAAGATGTATTAATAAACATCGGGTCTGAATCGTTAATGACAAGATTTAAGTATTTTTAAAAATATTTCCAATATTTCCGAGACACGTTTGGAAATTTCCAATATTTCCATTTACCACACTAATTCAAAACGTCAAAATTAGTGCTATGTACTTACTTTTTTTTCTATCGCTTCCTTTATATTTCTTATTTGACTGTTCCAGTTCAACATCAATCTGCTTCTGAAGATCGGTCACTGTTTCTGCTTCATCTTCTAACAACTGAAGCAAGAAAAATCATTTGGAATTATACAGGGTCGCTGTTATGTATGGAAACGGTCGATTATTACGTAAAATATACAAGGTACCGCAAAAAGTTAAATACAAAAGTTATAAGGTTTTTAATTGTCTATTAGCGAGTAATGAATTTATGTATACAGGGTTGGTCATAAAGTCGTGGCACATCAAAGATTAACTTTTTTAAATATAACCCCCTGTATATTATTGCACATTTCAATTATTCCTTCAATTCTAAGCAAAACTCAAAATACACACAATGTATCTCAAACCAACCGTTTGCGAGTTATTGACTTTTGAACATATCACTTAAACAGTTTGATTTAATTAATTTCGATATGTTCAGTTTCATTTAATGATGCCATTCTGACGAAACTGTGATACTGTATATTATTGCATATTTCAATTTTCTTCCTTCAATTTTAAGCAATAATCCTAATACACAATGTACATAAATTGAAGAATTCAAATGTTAAACGAAAATTTTGTAATTCAGTTTATAATCATCTGCTGATGATGCTGACATGGTTAGCGAAACGCGCGTCCAGTGTAAAAGTAAAAGTGTTTTGGTGTATTGTGGTGATTTAGTGTTTTTATTTCGCTGTGTAATACCAAAGGTTCCAACCCTCAACTGTAATCCGGGGACATAGTGTGGACGTTACACTATACTTAATAGTAATTTTCAATGATTAAAAAATCTACACTGAATAAAAATGATTTAACTATATTTCCTGGAAATATGAAAATATGAACTTATAACTATTAAACATACAGAATGTGGATAAAGTAGGAAGTACTATAAACAAATTTCTGGAAATTGAACAAGTGGTACTCAAAAGTTTTTCAATATTTTCCGGAAAATGTCAAGAAAAATAGAAAATTTTAAACATTTTTTTTTGCAAAAAAACCTCATCGGCGTGTTTCACGGGTCGAACTATACTACTAGTTAAAATACCTGCACTTATTTTTCTGGGACACTCTATATATTAGACATATTTCAGGAAAATACCTTCTACAGGGTGGTTCAAAAAAGTGTGACTGGATCGGGATGTTTTTTTTTAAACGGAATACCCCGTATATTATTGCATTTTTTGCTTCCTTTTTCATCTTTATTTTTTTCTTACAGTTATTTATATTTCTCAGTAATAGTTCTGTAGCCGATTTAAAGTCGTAACAAATTGAATTGATTTTCGATGTTTTCTGTTCAATTCTCTCATCTACTAAACCTATTAAAAGTGTTAATTTATTGCGTTATGTTCAAATTCCAGAACCAATCGATTTACCTGAGCATAAACAACAAAATATTTAGCATGAAATAAACTAAAACAGGGTTACCCAGATTTAATTTTAAGACTGTTTTAACTAAGGTATTTAACACAGATAACAAAGGTAACTGTGGATTGTATAGTTGATTGATTCGAATTAACGACTAGAAAGATATATGGCAATTAATTTTTTACTGGCTTGAAATAGGCGAGTCTGGGTAGTAAAGGCTAAATCCGGCTATTAAAAGCTACACCCTTGAGGCTTCTTTAAAACTATAAACTTTCAGAAAGGATGTAAAATATCCTTTAAGAAGAAATAGTTTTAAAATAATTATGAATATGTATGATCTAATAAAAAGTTATAGTGTATTGGTGAGACGGTGAAAACTGTTTATTGTGAAATTAAAGAATTATTAAAAGTATACTGCTATCTGTTTCTTGTTTCATTTTGAAAGCTACTAATAAATTCTTTCCCAAGTAGCAAATTTTATTTTATAAAGGCTGTATAAACAGCTATATGATCATCTTTATAGGATAACTTAATTCGTATAACGTGCTATAAGACCGTAATATGATAGCTTTACAACCAAAAAAGGCCCATTTTTATACAACCGTTTAGTAGTATAGAAGTTCTATAAAAAGGGTATACAACTCTTATGCAACTATTTTACACAGCGTTATATAACTATTAAAAAACTAGTTTTATTGTGTATTACGTGGTCACATCTAAGAAACAGAACAATAAAAACATTTGATCATTTAGCGAGGTAAAAGAGTATTTTATTTTTTACCGAAGAATATCAGGAGCAAATTATAATTTCAGCGTGTCGTAAAATGAATCTGGAGGATGTGGATTGTTAAAAAGGAGACTTTACTCGACAATGAAAATGGCGGGTAGAGCCAGAAGGTACAACAAATATGTAATATAAAAAATCTTTAATAGGGTTTGAAAAGTAGGGACAATTTTTGTTGCGCCGAAAATTTTACTGGTAGATTATAGGTATATATTTGGCAAAAAATTAAAGCGCTTTAATTTCGATTAAGGTTTACGTATAAATTTAAACAATAAAATAAAATAAAATTTTCAAAAACTCTTGTTTTTAATTTAATTAAACAGATTATTACTGTATGTGGAAATCTTATCACAAAATAGTTCTCAAAAATAACATTTTACAATTTATTTTGATGTTTTTAATTTTGCTTCTTATAATGGCGGCCATAGGCCATACAAAAATTCTGCCTTAAACATGGCGAATTATAATGCAACCATTTTATTATAAATGAATCCCTTAAATAAGTCTTTGTTCTAAAACAAAACGGTATAGAATAAATATCTATCATTACGCAGAATTTCCAGGCACTATAGAACTATTTTTGACATATTGAGATTTGTGACAAATAGATGTTGCCAAATCTCATTTGGTTAGTATTTAAACTAACAAACATGATCAGATTTTCATGGATTCATGCACGCAATGCATTTCATGCCCGACGACTGAGCGGCAACCTAAGGACTTGGAAAAACAACAATACAGACATCACTACAGTAAAACTTTTATATCAACGTGGCAACAATGCTTTGAAGAAGCCAGACAACCCGAGAGATTTTGGCTTTTGGGAACCCAGGGAATTCTCGAGGTAATTTCGAGGAGTTTTTTCTTACATGCTCTTTATAACTACCACTGCGTTTGTTAACTTTTTTCCAACTTTGAACAGGATTCATAATAGCTGTGATTATACTTCTACGTAGATATTACTTTTGCAACAACAACAATAACAAAATAAATAACTCGGTATACCATTTAATTTAATATGAGGTTATATTATACATTACCAGTTTTATAATGCAGATATTACAGCGAATTTATTTTGTTAATCACAATTTTATCATATAAGGCTATATAACTAGTGTTGTATACAGCACCGTAGTTTAATGCAATAAAACATTCTATTATACAACGGAATACAACTTTAATAAGACAAATTTAAGTAACTATTATATGATCTTGTGACTACTAGTTATATGAATATTATAGAACTCTTACATGGTGGGTATAAGAGTCTAATAAAATAATATGTTTTTTATCATATAACATTGTCTTATTAAGTGTTATATCATACTAAAAGAAATTATCGTTTAATGCGTTATAGGATACGTTGTAAAAACCACTAGAAAATAGTTTAATATGACAACTTTTATTAAAAAACAGAATGGTCGAAACCAAACGCTTAATAAAATCAAGCAGTCCTTAAAACAACGCTATTCGACTGTTATAAAATAATTCAATCCTTTTAGAATTTCTTTTTGCTACTTGGGTTATATATTAGGGAAACTTAACTCTCTACCGCTATTTCTAAATCTTGGAAGCTAGCGTATCGGAACTTTTAAATATTCCTTTAGCTACAGGGTGTTAGCACAAAAATATTGCGCATTTGAAAAAACATAACTTTAGTTCATGTTTTCAAAATTATTTTTTTTGTAGAAAAATAGACTACGCCACTGTATTCTACGTAAAAATTTCTACAAGAATCAGTTTTCACCTTCTCGATATCTTTCACAATAACGGAGATACGGGGGCTGTCCCAAATTGCAAAATTTTCGAAAAGACCCTGTAGCTCAAAAACGAAGAGGACTATGAAAATTTTGTTGACAGCATCTTCCATTTGACAAAAAAGTGGGACAGGTTTGTGCAAACCGCACCCTTCTATCTTCACGAATAACGGAAATACCGTATGATTTCAACTAAAATGGGACACCCTGTACATACGCAGAGAAAAAATTCGTTGATACAATATGATAATACACACTAAAACATCACTATGCCTCTTCATTTTTAATTTAGCATAAATCAAAAAAATTCAACACAAAACTAATTCTAAATACAATAAAAGCTAAAATAAATTATTTAAATTACTTTAGATCGATTTCAAACAACTTTTCTACATAATCTCGAAACACAGTTAAAAGTTCGAGAAAAACTATATTATTTTAATTAGTACAGCATAAATTAAACAAATTTCAGGTTACATCCTCTGCAAAATTACTTTGATAAGAAATTAATTACATTTTTTACCAACCGTTTGAAGTATTTAATCCGTCTAGTTTTCTTTAATTTATCTGCAATAAGGCGGGAATTAGTTTAAAGTTTTACAATTCTCTTAAAAAGTTACAGGCAAAAAATTAATTATATTTTTGAAAGCTGGTGTGTGATAGGGTTTTTGTTTATACGGGATGTCAATTAAATTTACATAGGTATTTGCCACATTTTTAAGTGTGTAAAACGTGAAAATCTTTTTGTAAAAATTTTCGTTAAAACAGTTTTAATTGATATCAGATATTTCATTAATGTTGTTATTTTTACTGAGAGTCAAATAACCACTTCTAGACATAAGTGGCAGTAATATTGTTGTCTAAAGGATGTTCAACAAGTCAGGGAAGATTTCGATTAAAAAATGACGGCAAATAAAATTTATCTGTGAATTTAAATGACATCAGGCCCTGAACACAGTAGTAATTTTATAGAAGTACAAATTTAGTTTCTTTCGCATCGCCAGACGGCGCTAAAGACATTAAAGTACAGGTTTCTAAATGAAGATGACATGACAGCTTCTATGTTGACTACCGTCTATGGTCTAGTTTTGTTAGGTTAGGTTAGGTGTAGAGCTGACAAAATGGTGATCCGTCAAGTTATTTTTAAATCATTATTTTATTTCGACCGATTTGTCGGAACGTTCGGTGATTTGTGTTTATACAGGGTGTTCCATAATTCTAAGAAAAAAAACTTCATATGAATATATGTTACAGTTGAGGGTTGGAACCTTTGGTGTTACACAGCAAAATAAAATTACACTAAATCACCACAATACACCAAAACACTTTTACTTTTACACTGGACGCGCGTTTCGCTAACCATGTTAGCATCATCAGCAGATGATTATAAACTCAATTAATTTATCAACTAGTGAAGGAGAATATCCATTACACTCAGCTACATTCCTAATGTAATCTTTCGTTGGAAAGTGGGAAACTAAGTAATCTATGAACTAAGAAATTTAAACTAGCCATTTTATGTTCAACACTATGATGTGATTCATTAGGAATATATCTGCGTGTGGTGGTATTTTTCCTATAGATATCAAATTTCCCCAGGCAATTATTAAGTATTTCTATAACTATACATCTAGAAATGGTAATCTGTCGTTGTTTTCAATTTCATGCGTAAATTTAATGGAAGGAAAACGATTATTTACTTAGAAATAAAATTATCTATGGTGTCTGAATGTGTGTCAAAAACGGCAAAAATATCATCCACATACCTAAACCATACTCTTGGGAATACTCAAACTGATTCTTAGCTTCCACTTCAAACCTGCTCATGAATAAATAAGCCAAAAATGGAGACAATGGATTACCCATTGCTGTACCTTCCCGCTGTTCAAAAAGTTGTTATAATTGAAAACAATTTTGGTTTCATACATAACGAGTAAGCTCAATATTTCATCACAGTTTTGTTGTCCAGACCATTTGCGTTCAGTAATTCCTTTAAGTAACCTAAAGTATGTGGAATTTGGAACACTTGGGAACAACGAAGATACATCAAAGGTGACCAAAATTTCACCTTCAAGCAATGTTATATCTTTAATCTTGTTAATGAATTCAATATAATTTTTAACTGAGAAAGAAGGTTCATGATTAGGTAAATTTCGAACTCCCGTTGATACCATTTTGCAAATTATAAGTCGGAGAATCTACAGCCGAAACAATTGGGCGCATAGACTTGTCCGGTTTTTGAATTTTTGGCAAAGCATATAATTTTGGTAATGAGGGATTGGAAAACTTGCAATTTCCTCTTTAAAGAGAGATCAATAAGGGTGTTACAGCATTCTTTTAGAGTTTTTTTAACGTCCGCTACCATCTTAGACAAAGGATTCCTTTTCAAATTTATGTAGGAGCCATTATCGATTAAGTTGTTAACCCTATCGTAATAGTCTTTTTTATCTAATATAACAACTTTATTTTTCCTATCAGCTTTTAACGGTAGAAACAATCTAGTTACGCAAACCCTGACAAATATTGTGCTCCTTGTTAGATTTTAATGATTTACTTGAAACGATATTTTTTGATAACTGATTTCTACAAACCTCTCTTGTAAATACTTTAGAAGCCTCGGGCCAGTGCTGAATAGCAGTTTCAACACCAACGACGGTTTCCTCCAAAGCGCTACCGGAGTTGGGCAATGCAAACTTTAAACCTTGGTTTAATAAACTGAGCTCTTGTTTATCAAAAGTCCGCGAAGAAAGATTCTCTACAGTTTAATGTTTAATTAAAAAAAAAAAAAAAAAAAAAAGCTTTTTTAATTTTTTAAAAACTTATTATTCAAAATGGACAATTTTCTTAACAAATTTTGAATTGATAACCACAAACATTTTTCTCTGAAAGAGACACCAACATTCTTACTCTACATTAGTTAGCTTAGAAGTAAGTTTTTTGTAAAGTCCATAGGCTTCAATTTCAAGCATACTTCGTTTATTATACAGCAAATTTGAATTTTAAATTTTTTTTTTTTTTTTGTTTTGCAATTTTTTCTCTACCTTATCACTAACGTTACTTTTGGAATATAAACTTTAATAAAACAGGATAACTGAATTGGCTTTGCATGATTTAAGAAACCAAATATCTGCTCCTAATAACCTAATCTTAGTACTAAACTTACGATAAAGATTCAGTTCCGTTGACGGTGAAGCCATCGAAGATTACAGTTTAAGGTTGGAACCTTTGGTGTTACACAGCAAAATAAAATTACGATGATTATAAACTCAGTTTATAATCATCTGCTGATAATGCTAACATGGTTAGCGAAACGCGCGTCCAGTGTAAAAGTAAAAGTGTTTTGGTGTATTGTGATGATTTAGTGTAATTTTATTTTGATGAATATATGTCCTAAACCTCTTAACTTTTCAGGTACAGGGTGGTAAAATTTTCTATTTTTTTTCAAAGTATCTTTGATGGTATCCTCTATTTTTTTGTTATATTGTATATTTTATTATACATAATCATAATTAAAACATAGAAACTCTAATAAAAAGAAACTGATCTAACCTTTTGCAACCTCTCCTTATCTTTTTTTCTTGCAGCTTTAAAACATGGAGGATCCTGTTCCTCCTCCAGATCAACTGTCATGAATTCTTCAAGGCTCAGAGCACTGCTGGGCGTATCACCAAATTCCATCAGTCTGAGAAAAAAAAACGATAATACAATTTTCGTGACACACATGATGTAAAAGGTACCTTAATTAACCATTATTACTTCTCATAATTAATTTAATTTACTTCTTTATTTTCCTATTTACTATTTTTTTATTATTCAGTGCTTCTGGCTGTAGTGATTGAGGCTGTAAAACTCGGAGGAGGAACACTATTAAAATGGATTAAAGACTTATTTAATCTATGCCTTGAAAAAGGAATAATCCCGTCTCAATGGAACAACGCCATAACGATACTTCTCCATAAAAAGGGCGATATCACCGAGCTTGAAAATTATAGACCGATAAGCCTTCTTTGTCACTTATATAAGCTGTTTACCAAAATCATTGCCAAACGTCTCGAATGTAAACTAGATTTTTATCAACCAAGAGAACAAGCAGGCTTTAGGAAAGGTTATGGAACAAACGATCATCTTCAAGTAATTAAAGTCCTGATAATATACCTCACAAGGTGGTCAAGCGATCTCTTGAAACAAGAGGGGCGAACAGTACGATAATTCGCTGGTTTTGGGAAATGCTCTCAACACGAACAGCAGAGGCTGAGATAGGTACCAAAACTGTAGTTGTCAAAACAACGCAAGGAACTCCACAAGGTGGAGTGACCTCCCCCCTACTGTGGAGCTTGGTAGTGGATGAACTTCTGGAAGAATTAACTCTAGCGGGAATACACTGCATAGAATATGCACGGGAATGAACGCAGATCATCATTGCACAGAAACATGAGGCACCCTGTGTGATATTATCCAAAGAGGATTCCGCATCGCTGAGAGATGGTGCATGACTGTCGGGCTGAGTATTAACTCAGGTAAAACCGCAGTAGTGCCATTCACCAGAAAGCGAAGTTTGAAAAACTTGAAAAAAATCCATCTAGATGGAAAGGAAATACTGCCATCTGGGAATAAATATCCAGAATAACCCTGGATAGTAAACTTCTCTGGAACAGGCATATTAAAGAACATTACCAACAAAGCCACAAAGGCTCTCTTGTACAGAAGGCTGGCGGGAAATAGGTGGGCTGCGCCCCTAACATTTTTCGCTGGATGTATACCATGATGGTAAGACCCATGATTACATATGGAGCAGTTGCTTGGTATACAAAACTAGAGCAACGTAGAGCAAGGCAAAACCTGTGGAAAGTACAGAGACTGGCATGTATCTGCATCACAGGTGCCATGAGAACATGTCCAGCAGCAGCAATGGAGGTCATTTTAGACCTAACACCACTGCATATTGTCGTCAGTAGTTATGCCAATGCGACAATGATTCAAAGTCAGCAGATAATTTGGAAGCAGTACTGGGAGAATTTTCAGGAATTCAGGGGCTTGGAACACCCTCAAAAGGAAAATTCCACTTCTCCAACTCCCGGTGGATGACATACCAAGAATTTACAACTTGCCGTATTGGGTTAATGTTGCTATTGTGGTTAGTCTAAGAGCTAGCAACGTTTTCGAGAAAGTATTTAAGACGTCTGGCTCTTTGATATATTTTACTATGCTCTCTGGAACAGTATGCGGCCCGTCTGGTTGCCGATACCCGTTGCGTTCACTACGTGCATCGAAGAAGATCCTATATTTTTATTAATTTAGTCATGTAAATTCTAGTATTGAATATAAATCGAACATGTTCCATAGCGCAGTGCGTAGAGTTTCCAACCACGAACCTATGATTCAGAGTTCGAATCCGGGTCAGGGCAAAGACTTTATTTTTATTTTCGTTTATATTTGGATAGTAAAGTATTAAATAATTCTTCTGGTGATTAAAAAACAAATACTAATAAGGACTAATAAAAATATAGGATCTTCTTTCAATGCGCAGTAGAGAACTCAACGTTTACCGGCAGCTAGACGAGCCGCATCTAGAGAGCATAGCAAAATATATATCAATGAGCCAGACGTCCTAAAATACTTGTTTTACCGACGCACAGAGGGGTATTGGCTGGTTTTACCTGGCCAAAATTATTTATCACTGAAAATCTTTTCAAAATACTATCTTTTGGTTCAATCTATGTATATTAAAAAAAATGTGTCATATTATTACTTTACAGAATATAATTTTGGTAGGTACTAAGATAAATGCATAAATAATTTTATTAGGGACTATCAGACAATCGAAGTTCTTCAGTCTTGCGTCTTTTAGTTCGTTCGCTAGCCTCTTCAAATAACTTTTCGCTCGTCCTGGCTTTGTCTGTACCTTTGGCAACTCAAACACTCTTTGAAGCCGTCTGATTTTTTCCGAATAGGTCTGGTCGTTGTTTTGCTGCAATCCAGCGACGCTTTATTTCGGACTTCACATATGTAAATTTATGCTTTATTTCCTTAATTTGTTCGTCGCTATAAGGCTCCAATGTTGCCAAATGATTTTCGACAAGTTCTAACTTCTCGTTAATATCGAGGCGATTTTGTGGACTCATCAAGTCAAATATTTCTCTACGTGTCATTGCCCTAATGCCAGATGGTCCTAAAGTAAAGGAAAATGCAAAATTACTAATAACTTGAATGTCACAGACCATAAAAAGTATCAGCAGATCAGCAGGAGATAGGTACCTCCGTTATATTATTTTTTATTAAAAAAAAAAAAAAAAGCTTTAAATATTTAATTAATCAATAGGTGGAGCATAGTGGGCCTTGAATATATGATTTTTACGAAGGGAATACTGTTCATTTATCATCTCTACAAAAATCACTACCCGGACGAACCCTGAAGTACAACAAAACACTTTCAGTTATAATATCTTTTCATAACACCGACAAAAGTACAGGATTTTTTAACATAATGGAATAAACGCATAAGGAACCGATAATAAACAAAAACTCTAATATGGAAATAAAGGTAAAATTACCTGCCATTTCGGAATCCAAGAGATTTTAGTATTGAGAATAAAGCACCAAAAATACAACACTTCTAAAAGTCACATTTTTCACACAGAAAACAGTTCTAAACAATTACTGCTTTTAAACATCCGAAAACCGATTGATGCATTCCATTTTATGGTGGAGTGGGACACCATAAACACTAGGTTCGGAGCGGGGGTCTCTCTGGCATTGCTTGAGAACCGTATCTTTTTATCTACGCGTGATTTTCGGAAATCACTTTTGGCCAGTTAGATATGAAAAATACTCCTTTGTGCGACGTTGCTAGCTCCCGTACTATATGGTGTATGGTACATACCGGGACCCGGTGTTTCCAAAAGTGGCTCACCCCCCTATAACTTTTTAATTTTTTCAGATGAAAAACGAGATTTGGTATATTAGTATATGAGATAAATTAGATTGATTGAGGTATTCAAATTGTTTTGGTCACTTCCTGTTTTACCGGAAATTATTACAACTTTTGATTTTTTAAATGGCAACCTTGGGTATTTTTTATTTCGATAGAAAAATGACATTCTGAATAGACGACATGTCATATGTCAATTTTTGACATTCTCAAGTATATCAAAAATTATTGTATTTTTAAAATTCAATCTAAAGTGCCATGGCTATGTTAAATCACTACCTCTAATCAAGGAGCCTTTGAGAAAATAGATTTGATCGTCTAATGCTTTTTAGTGGCCTGTCCTGGCCAGTCAGAAAATGCTCAAATCGTATTTTTAATCGTATCTCACTTTTTTCAAATGTAACGAGGGTAGCTCATTAGCATATTTGGAAAAGCATTTAACAACTACGAATAATTTGGTACCACACACTTGGTATTTCTTGGTCAGCTCACTACAATACTATAATTTCAAATAAACTATAAAAATGTCAAAATTGACATATGGATATTTCATACTTATTCAGAATGTCATTTTCTATCGAATAAATTAAAAATACAGAGGGTGCCATTTAAAAAATCAAAAGTTGTAGTCATTTCCGGTGAAACAGGAAGTGACTAAAAACAAGTGAATACGTCACTCAATCCCACTTATGTCATATACTAACATACCAAATCTCGTTTTTTTTAACTGAAAAAATAACAAAATTATAGGGTTGAGCCGCTTTTGAGACGCACCCGATATAACGAAAGTTATAGTACTATTAATTTTTTTGTATAATTTTCATAACTTAATTTTAAAACTAAAGTTTTTTTTTTTTTTTTATGAATTTTATATTATTTTAATAATATTTGCCCACATCAAATTATATACTTTCAAATAGCTACAACTGGAATACATTTAAATATGATTTGGTTTATTGACTGCATTTGGGGGTAATATAGGCACGGAACTGTAATTGTGGCGAAACCGACTCGCTATGAGCTAGTTATTCAGTCTTCCATTTGATAATTGTTGCACATTTAGCAATAATTAAAACATTACAGTAATAAAATTCCCATTATACAAAAGTGATTACATTATAAATTCAATATTTTAGATACAGCATATATAAACGGTAAAGCTTTGATATTGAAATAGACAACGTTTTTAATTTTTTTTCACATTACATTTAAATGTTATTTTATAATAATAAGAAGAGTTTAAGAAGACATTTATTTCAAAATTCATCATCACTACTAACACTTTCAAAGAAAGGTATAATAATTTAACATTTATACAGTTTCATAATTCTCTTTTACTGTGATACACCATTACTTTATGAAGGTGTAAGAAAACAAAGCTACCACTACTATACAAGGTAATCCGAACTGTATTCCCGAAAATAGCATCCGGTAGCATATTCTGCAGATTATAATAAGATAAACATTTTGTATAAAATAATGTCCTAAAAATGCTTGTTTTGGAGATTGTAGAAGCTTTATATTTATTTCGTTTTTTTCTAAATAATTTCTGGAACTAACGTCTATACTTGGATGAAAATTTCTGTGTTTGGGAAGTTTTTGGACATGAGAAATTCGATTTGGATAGGTATGATTAGTATGATACTAGAATGACTCCTACCAGGCCGAGAGTCACCTACATATTTTTTCACTGTTTGAAGAGCAAAAGCATTTTGTCTGTACCTGTATTACATTACTGCGTAAAAAATATATATTT